CCCAGATCCACCCGTGACTAAATGCCCCAGTTGTAAACCCAGACACAAAGCATGCTATTCCCAAAAGATTTCTTATTTTAAACCGGTGAAGCAGAAAATACAAGACGACTGCATAACAATTTCTAAATGATGCATTAAAAAAGCAGCTTAACGGCTCGGGAAGACACGGCTATGTATGCAGTTCCTGTAAAGAAATAATTATGATATGCATTTATCTGATATGACTTATGCAAGTAGAAACTATAGTAACGGAGCTCCAGGGGAGGAATAGTGCAAAGAAACTCAAAAAGCTATTGGCAAGCCAAGACGCAGTCACATGGAAACAGTGCAGACTGTCAGAATCCCTCCGACATGTGAGATTATTTACTTTTTCTTCAAGGAAGATTTACATCGACTCAGAAACCATAATAAACCTATCCTCCAATGTTGGAACAGCTATCTGACAAACGGCAAGGAAAATACCGAACAAGGTGTATTCAGTCTATGACATTCTCATTCTCAAGAGCAGAACAAGAATTTAACCAATTAATCCCTCGACAAGAGTCGGCTAAATAGAAAGGAACCGACCCGACAGATTAATGCCAAATCAGAAAAGCTCATGGCGAGATATGAGCCCTGTTATTGATTTCCTTTTTCCTTACTTAGCTGATCCTGCGTTTCGACTTGAAACAGAGACACATTTCAGGGATTTAAAAGCAGAAAATTGCAGCTGCCGCTTCCTGATAAACGTGTTTTCCATCCTGATCCAACATGGTGACAGTGTAGTGTGAAGAAAGCAGAGGAGAAAGAGAGGACACCTAACAGACACTATACGCCAAAATAACAACCCAATGGAAACATATGATACTGAACTGCATGTTCTGACAAAACAAGATATCATGTAACCCTAGACAGCCAATGTCTGGGACAAACAGTACTTTGATATTTGACTATCTGTTCATATCCCCTAAAATAGTTTTTATTCAGAGATCCAAACCAGCGTTTCCGCCAGGGGGGCGTCTTGCCGTCATTTGATGCCCTTATTCAGCTCGGAACGCCCTGAACTCGAGCCGAGGGCGACCAAAAAAAAATATTGCTTGAAATGACGAAAAGGAAAAAGGACAAGGACATCCCTCTGTTGGAGGGGCAAAGGAGTCTGGTGGGATTATTTTCGCCGCCAGCAAAGCGTGTTCCTGTGACGGAAAGTGTACTGCCGGCGAGCCTTGACGGGGGGTGCTAGTGGAGCACGCGCGTGAACTGCGAGCGCCGATGCCTCGCAGCGGCGGAACTGAGGCTCCGTGGTAAAATGAAGAGCCGCTTAGGAGCCGAAAGAGCCAGCTCTTCTTAGTGAGCCGAGCCAAATGATCTGGCTCACTAAAAAGAGCCGGAATTCCCATCACTAATACGTAAATAGATAGTATCTATAAAGGGACGGCTCAATTCAAAATTCAAGTCACGTGACAAGACGTGACGTCACACCCCCCGCTCTCGGGGTGGACGCCCTCTCAGCCCTGGTCTGGCGGAAACACAGTGACATGTAAGCACCTCACTCGAGGCCACTCATTGAATAGTATTTGTGCAGTCTTATTCACGCAGAGAACACTCCATTTTGTCATAACCTTTCCATTATTTAAGGTCAGTGCTTATGTTCATGTTTTATTAATCTTTTTTGTAATACGCAGCCTTTAAACAGAGACCAAAGGGGCTTAAAATGAGGATTGTGAACATACGAAGAGAGCTGAAAATGTGTCTTTTGGATCAACTGCAGAAGAACAAAACGTAGCTCATTTAAAAATGTTGCCAAAGAAATCAGTGAAAATAATGAAGGGCAACTTCCAAAGAAAAGAGCCACTTCACTTTGCAGAGACATCTCATGCAGTGTTTGGGGGAGGATTTGCTAAAGAGCTGACAGCAGAACCACAATGAGCTAAATGCTCAAAGAGATGAAGTTTTAGTGGCCAAGTACCTCCATTAGTTTCTACGGCGAAGGCGAAGCTTAATCTCCTGTCAGCTCCCCTCAAGCTAGTCTCCCAGGACTCGGGAGCTCTCTCTCCCATCCATCACCTCAGCAGGGACCAAAGGGAGACTCCCCAAAGGCATGAGGATCAGAGCCATTTGCATTCACACTCAAACCATCAAGGCCCAACAATCCCACAGTGACTCTTTCTATTTCACTATATCACAACTGTCATCCAAAGGAAATGTGAAATGCCATGGACCGACAATTACAGTTTTTCTTCAAAAGAGAGAAAGTCCAAATGATAATTACAATAGTCTGGCGGTCATCGCTCCATGCCCAATCGGAGGAAACATTTTCCTGCCTGTTTCAATGTTCAACATCAAACATCTATTTATGAACATGCCAACCATTGTGCTCAGACCCCCTGACTGTTCAATCAATCAATGCTGGCGAAGTACGTGACATTTCATACACAAAGGTAGACTTCAGTGCTGCTAAAAGGAGTCTGAACAACAAATACACACTGGGGCAGCACACCATGTGAATGCCGGTTGTCATAAGTCAAAATGAACTCATGTGCGTCAGGCTTACAGTGACAAGCTTGTGCATAGAAATCAGGCAGTTAGCTGCGCAATTAACCCTAAAGAGTCAAATAAACACAGAAAAGGGCAGAGACACAAAAGATAATGCAGCTGTGTTGTAAAAAACCCATATGAGAGACTGCATTGAGTGACTGACAGAACTGAACAACAGGGGTCTCCAGGCGAATGAGTTACGCCTGCCAAGTCATTACAAAGATTATAATACACAACTGCATAATTTCCCTTCCTGAAGAACAGACTACATTCAAAGTTAATGCTCTCCACTATTCAGCATTAATTTCCCAAATGTTTAATCCAACTAAAATTAGGAATTAGAGCTGGAAAATCTCTTCATCCCACCGCTGAGAGTGATATCTATATGTGCTCGCACAGCACCAGGACCCCAGGATGGAGCCATGCCATAAACAACCACCTGGTTGCAAACTCAATTCGCACTCAATTAAATATCAGACTGGAGAACTGGGGAGGCCGAGTGCTAATGTAAGAAAGCAGAGCGGCTGTTACTATTCACAGATCCATTATTCTCAACGTTCCCTTTATTTGATAATCTATTTGGCGAGAAGCTCGGAATATTTTCTGTTTATGAATTTGGCACTCTTATGTTTTCTACAAATGGTTATTGCCACGACAAGCACAAATGGATTTCCGTGATGGATAGCTGCAACAGGGTTGTGTTGCTACTTCCATTTGTTAGTGCCATTTTACCACTTGTTTGTGCATTTGTAATGAGGGAAGAGTCTGGAACATGCTGTATATCAATTAGGCCATCAAAGACCGTGGGCATTTATGGCAACGCCCTTTAACCTCAGGGTGAAAGACCAGATTCTTGTTTTTGCATCACAAAAGAAATTGGTCCAAACCAAATGCTGCAATAAAACCGTTTTCCAAGCCCTTCCCTTAAAGAAGATGTCTGAAAGCATGAATTGTGCAGTCCTTTTGGTTTGAAATAACCCTAAGCCATAAAAAAAAAAGAAGAGCAAAGTTATTCATGCAATGTCTAATTAGGCTTAAAAAACACCTCCTGCTTTGCTCAAATAAGACATTTCCAGGACGCTTTAAGAGCAATTTTCGTAATATTTTTCCACTCCCTTGATTGAACAGCTTCAAAAGATTTCCACGATGAATCCCAAGGGAACCAGTTAATCCTGATCTTCTCCACAAGCAAAGGGATCATCTCAATGTAAATCAGACAGGGCTTTTGATCAATCGGTCTTAAACACATGACGCCACAAGGAGCCTCGCTGCGAACAAGGTTAACATCTTGGTTTGTTCTCCGGCTCATAAGAGTTGGGGAACAAAACAACCGAGATGTGACGAAAAACATTTGCCCTAGAAAACTGTTTTTTGACTAGAAAAAAATCACCAATATGTAAGATTGAGTTAACATGTACAAGCTGCAGCCTGTCAGAGAAAATGAGGACATCAGTGACATACAAAACATTTCTTGACCACACTTGACCCTCTTCCATTCCTTTCTTAAAATAGAGGCGCCAGACCGAGTATACTTGTCCATGATGTAAACAAACGAGTAAACTTTAGAGTAAGCCTTTAAACGCCTCTGGATAATGGATGACAAACAACACACACCCACACACAAACACAGTTGGGCGTATACATGATGCTTTACTGTTGGCTTGTTGTGTTTTCCAATTAGAAGGGTGTCAAATTTAACAAGAATAATGGCTATTCTTCTGATAACAGTCAAATACTCCTCCTGAGCATGTGTTTAAATAATTAGGCCCACTTGAGGAAGCTTTAATGTCAGGATGATCAATGTCAAATGATCACTCCATTTATCAACCACCAGTGTTTCCCTCAACACCTCATCCTGCGCCCCCAAAAGACACACTCCATCTCTCTCCGTCTGCTATAATCTAGTATGTATTCAGGGCAAAGTAGAGAACTGGAAAGACAAATGTCACCACATTATGAGTCACAGACAATATCAAGATTGAATTTAAAAACAAACAGCAAAGGCCTTAGGATTTGATTCTCAGTTTCTCACATGAATGAATTGGACATCATCAACTTCAATTCTAATAGTTTGGAGTATAAATCTGAGAGAGAAGAAGATGATAACAGGCCACAAGTTTCAATTATCATCCATAAGCACTCCGACTTGCCATCACAATAAGATATTGGAAAACTTGGAGAGTACACGGTTCGCACATTACGCCATCTGCCTGCTGCCGGGGTTACTTCATTGTATTGCAGCCAAATAAGTATTCTGCAGCCCTTTTTTGAGTGGCTTTCAATCTGCACACTTTCCAATTTTCTCTCATTTATTTTCCCACTGTTGTTGCAAATCACACCACATTACATCGATCCACCCATTCATGCAGGGCTGCACATGCACGCGCACACACACACGCACACACACACACTGAGAAGCAGGGAGGGGATGGTATAATAATGCACATATGTCTCGAATGATTCCCTGTTTAAATTCTGCGGCTTACCTTGGACGTGCAGGGCTAGCAGGAGTATCCACATCCCCACACACATCGCCATGGCACCTCAACTATCCGGATCCGGTCTGATAAGCCGAGAGTGGGTGAACGAGGCTCACTCGAGACGACAAAGACCAAGCATGCAACTTCTGCAAATCCCACTACGGCTCGAACTAGTCCCTCACTGATCAGTATGAGACTTTCGCAAAACTAGAGGATCGGTGTTGCGCTTCTCCGTACCAAAGCATCAATTTCACGTCTGCGGCGACTTCCTTTTTTTTTTTGGCTGGAGCAGAGTTTGCACTAAGTGGAACCTGGCCGGATCTCCCAAAAAATGAGATCCAATTACAGCTGCAGATTTGGCGATAAGGTGATGGAGTCTTGTGTTGAGTGTTCAAAGCAGTTTAACCATCTAGCTCTAGCCTGTGTTGCTCCATCCACTGCAGCGGCTGCAGGACTCTCTCTCTCTCCTTCCAGGATTGTGGATCAGAGGTAAAGTGGGCGGGAGGTCCTCGATCGATGCTGCGCTGGGAAGTTTCCAACACTTGGAAGAGTTACTCTGGGGAAATGTCGCCTCGATCTTCCTGTTTGATATTGACAGAGCACCTAACAGATATTCTGCTGGTACCGTCCCTGTTTTAGTTCCTTAAGTTCCCGGTTGTCTGCAGACACGGACAGCCGGAGTGATCAGACACAGCAGGCCGGTGAAGTTGTTGTAACTCTGGAAAATGGTGGGATGTACCCCCCTTTCCTCTATCGTTTTTTTATGTGGATGAAATACAGTGTAGCTTTATCCTGCTATGCGCACCGCCCCGCTGATGTGCCACTACAGTGTGTTCCTGACTATCGCTGACGCTTTGGGAGAGATCGGGATCGGGTGACGTTGTGCAAGGGAGGAGCCTGGATTGTACTGCGAAAAAAGCAAATGCATCGTCTGAAAGAAACACATAAGCCTTGGTAGCCCCCCTAAATAAGTGAATCTCAAACTTTTCTAGCAGGTCAAAATGACTCCATCTGTAACAGAAGGTGATAACATTGTGCGCAAATGGAAAAACAATTATAGGAGGATTAAAATAGATCCATCGAAGGTACGGGGTGGAAATGTGAGAACAGGACAACAGCAGCGTGTACAGTCATGCAGAAGTGAAATAATGCATTGTGAAATACGGTTCATATGACTAAATCCTGAAATGCAGTGAGACTGAAGGGAAACGAGAATCAAAACCAAAACTGACATAGAGGAGAGTCGTGACTGAAGCAAATTCCTTAAAGGAGAAAAAAATATCCTCCCTCATATGTTAAGGAATAAGCCTAAATCCCATTACTGACTGATCTTGAAGTTAAAAGTATCAAATAAATAATTAACTTGTTTGTTTATTATGTCAGTTTCCCTCATTTTATCCCAAGTGGCAACATATGCAAAATATTAAATTATGTAATTTAAATGTCATCGGCAAACAGAGACAAAGAGAAGCACATCCTCGAAATAAAACACCTACATGTGCCAATTATTATGCCATAACCTTTACATTACTTCATCAAGTAAGAAAGTGTTGTATTTTTCATATGCAAAGAAACATCAGGGATACCCTGTATGACCCCTGCAGCACCCCAGACCTCATGTGAACCACAAGTCTGACAAGCATGTCAGGGTGGGGCACTGAAAGCTAAAATATGATCCATCCTTACATATTCTCATAGTGAAGTAACGTTGTCAATTAAAAATAGGGGAAGAATAACTGGATGGTGCTTTTGGAGGGAATGTTCTTACTTTTTTAATTATTTATGTGTGTATGCATGTGCATGGGAGATGGAGTTGACAAACAGTAACCAACCCCCCTATTTCCATCCTTCCTTCCTCCTCACTCCCAAGCTAGTTCATCCATTTCTCCAGAAACAACCGAACAGGATCAGTCCTTTGCAGGTACTGCCTGTAATGAATGGGAGGATGAATGTGATAACACTTCCCTCTTGTGGACAATAGTTCAGATAATTACAGCATGCCAAGACCATCTTGCTTGCTCGCACGTGGTCAAAATCCTGTCTTTGGCTGTAATTCACTATCAGGACCACGGAATTATCTGCTGAACAACAAGAGAAATGACCTGGCATGACAAAATGAGCACTGCGCCGGGCCAATTGGTTATTAGGGTCAGTATAGTGATTGGAGCACGGCAACATAAATCATGCTGTGTAAAGTGGAATACCACATGAGACATACTCTATCTAAGTGAAGGATGTGTGGTTAATAAACATGCCTACAATCCTGTTAAACACAATAAAAACCAGAGTAGAGCAGCCGAACTGGGAGCATAAAGATAAGCTGTAAGACTTCACATTTTGCCAGATAAAAAACTGCGAAGAAAAATGAAACCACTGCTACTTGAAATTCTGCATGCTTATCCCAAAGTGGTGGTTTTAGCCAAATGGAATCGTGTTAACTGAATGTGCTATGTAGTGTGCAGCTGAAACAGTCAAACATGGAAAAAGAGACATTCATGGTATCCCATAAGGTAGCATGAGTATCTAGGATTATGAATAAAATACACAGTATGAATCGACAATTTCAATGTTATACTACGTATTTACCTTAGAGAAGATAATCACTTAAAAAAGCTTTAAAGGTCAGCGCAGCAGCAATGAGGTAGTAGTCTCAATCTGATTTGAGATTTGGGCAATTTGGGAGGAAGGGAAATTCACTCCTTGAAAGACAACTGCCTTAAATGTACCCTTGAGCAAGGCACTTAACAAGTAGCAATCCAGTTGCAGGAGCCCATTGATCAGCAGTGGTTTCACACACCAAGGGTTTGAAGTTTTTTTAAACTAAATATTGTCACAAAAAGCTTCCATCCCCTTCCTGTGACACATAATGGCTAAAACAACTCCATATTTGCCCCTTGCCTTTGGCGCATTATCTCTGATGGCCTCTTTATTGAGTGTCTGGGGTTATGATTGATTTACAGGCTAGCTGATAACATTTGATATGCTCCTAGCTTTTGCCAGTGCTCAAGGCCGGGACAGAGCCACTGTGGAGATGTAGGAACTGTTCTGCATAGTCATTTTGTAGATGCATAAAAAAAGTACAGATGGCTAAATAAATGAAAGTAACAGATGAGGGGTTTCACTGATTAACACATCACTTACGAATAAACGGTGATGCTGCATTTATTTTACTGCAGAGAGAAAAGTTACTGATATTTTGCTGATGATAGTATTACTAGTGCATTAATTAAGAAATATAGAAGCACTTATATGTTGTCACTTTTAGTTTCCACAGCAAATAGACAAATAGACTATTCAGTCAAATCAGACTTCAGTCCTACCTGTGAAAATGATCACAGATAGCATGTGATATTTTTTGGACATACACAATGTTCTCCAATCCGATTCACACTTGATACATAGGAACAAAATTACAATTGAATTCATATCGATCTCATGAAACTCAAAAGGCACATTTTATAAACACAAACCATGTAGAAAAACGACTAAATTAAGTTACATCATAACAATCAATAACTGCTGTTGCACAGGGTGTGAGCCTAATTTGCTTAAGTCCCACATTCTGTCATCACCTCTGTCAGTGATGCAAAAACTGACTTAAATATAAAACATGGCATCTGTGGTTTTGGTGACCTAATATGAGCTGTCAATATTGAGCAGAAAAAGAATGGCAGTAGTTTGGCAAAGTGCTGATGAGCAAAACGCAATCCAGGATTTAGCAGTCCATAGTAGCATGACATCTGTATTGGGCCAGACCCAAGTCTTCCTCCCTGGAGAGCAGACAACCCTTTTGATCCAAACTATTACTTCCCCTGGCATGAATGAACAGTGACAGAGAAATCTGTGTCCTCAGAAACTCTGTTTGTTTTGAACTGAACATCTTCAATGTTACTGTATATAATATCTGACAATGTTGGAACAAATTATATTCTTACTTCACATTGTACATATTTTATAAAGCATGATGCTCATATTCACATCTTGAATTAACAAACAGTACATCCCTGCTAGGCTGATTTACCTCATTCACATAATAATTTGTTACATTGCAATTATATGGTTGCAAACCACATCTATGTATTGACTTCATGCAATGGATGGTAATTGTTTCATCCACAAAACATAGGTAATGTCTTCTTTTCTGAAAGGCAAACACTTATTGAGGATTAGCAAATGGTTAATTTTAAAGTCACATTTTAAAGACTTTATCATATATGATTTGTAGATTGAAGTACTATTACAGGAATAACAATGTTAAGGCCAGTAGCTCCAACCCAAACTAGACCATGATTCTAACTGATGGGGCTTTCACACCAACGCGGTTCCAGGGCTGGTTCGGAGCTAGAGCCTGAAAAGCACCGGTTTTTCCTGTTCACACCGCAGCGGAGCCGCCTCTAAGCTCCGGAATCCGGTTTGTTTCAAGCACAAAAAAATTGTCGGTCTAGAAGCAAGAACCGCATACGTCACGCTTACGTCGAGGGGGCGAGATTAACCTGAGCTAACAGTTAAAGGTGAGTACGGCAAATAAAAGTTGTAACAAGCAGTAGCGCTGAGCAAAGTGACTAGAACGCAACCACACACTTATTAAAAAAAACACACTTTATAAAGTCAGGCAACACTAACCAGGCTTTGTGTGATTCTGTTTATTTGTACCTTACTTTGACCATCTGTTCGCTGTTATTGATCATTGTGGAGAGCAGGCAGACGTTTTGTTTTGTATTATAGCAGCTATCGGATGGAATCAATACATGGGCTGCACAGGTTGTCATGTCCGACTATCACAAGTAGAATCATAATGAAAAATACGCCGGTAAAATGTGCCTGTAGAAAACGGTTTACGCCACAATAGGATAGCAACAACAAGTAGTCAAGATAGTCAGTTTAGCTTCGGTTGCTATGCTAACATCACCCATTTTATACCAGAGAAACTTTAATAACAGCGTTGTGATGCCAAACAGCGTCAATTCATACTGAAACACATTCACTTACAGTATGGGGAACTGAGGATATGTATCAGCTGCTTGTGTGACAGTCAGACAGTGAATACTTTACAGCGGCCGCTGCCGTGTGAGCTAATCCGAAGCTAACGGGAGAATAAACTCCGGTGGAAGAGCAGCACTGAAGCGGTCGGTAAATGCCGCTGAAACACATTAATAAACAATGAATCACGGCACTCTGGAGAAAAGTATAAGGTTGGATAAGTCGTTATTTAATTTAATCTGGCTTCGTATGATTAAAAGCAACACGATCATCGACCCGACGCAGTCCCCCATTGTTGTTGTAGTGAGCGCCGTAACGCCGTTGGGGAGAAAATCAGCGACGTAAACGGTGACGTCATGACGCAGCAGCGGCAGCACCAGTCGGGCTCTGGGTGGTGTGAACAAAACGGGGGCTGAAAAGAAAAACCGGTTCCGAACCAGAAAAGCTCTAGCACGGAGCTAGAACGGGAATCGCATATGAGTGATACTGCCACCCGTCAGCGGCGCCGGATTCATTTCAGAAGTGGGGGGGCCAAAAAGTGCGTGTGTATGTGATGGTCAAAGAAATGCTAAATCTACAGGCACTAGCGGAGTGGTAATCACTCCGCCTCTGGCTACAGGCATGGCCATATCCACCATTGAGGTCACCGAGGTCCGGACCTCGGTAACTTTTTCAAGGTGTATATAATAAAAGTCGTGAAATAACAGCACATAATTAACAAGGTTCCTTGTAGCAGTTCCATTTACTGGCAGTGGGGGCGCTGCATAACTACGCAGCCTGTATTAAAGCAAACAGAAGAAGACGACATTAATTGATGCACTTATGCACTTTTTTTGAACACACTCTGTGAAAATGAGACTTTTCGTGGCTTGGGCACTTTTTCCAG